ATTGACCCAGCTCAATGGTACGCCCAAGAGTCACACAGGGTTTTCACTACTGAGTCTAGAGCATCCAGCCAGGAAGGGTGCGCTTTTCGAGCAACAGTGCATCATCCTTCTCCTTCCTATATCGCATGCAGGTTCTAACTCGGGACACCTCAGCAGCCACCGGTCCGGCAAGGATTCTCCATCCCCTGAGGCGACCACGGCCGGCTGCGGGAAGAAGCGCTGGTGGCACGAGAGCAGTTGGAGCTCGGGGGCTCGAGAGACCAGCGTCGAATGCTGAGAGTTCTGGGCTCGGTTCGACCAGGTGAACGGGCTCGGGGTCTTTGTTTGGGCCATGTCTCGAACGATGTGCAGGATGTGTTTTTTTTTTTTTCTGTGGATTCTTTTTGGTTTCATGTTGTTTGGTCTAGATTCTAGATTGAGGGCCAAAATGCTTTCGACTAAAAGTAGTCTCATGATGATTCATGATGGCTCGTGTGAATTTGGATGGAGATCACTTGGGGGAATGCTGGGCATGCAGCAAAAGATCCTTGCACCAGTTGGACAAGTATGGAATTGTCGCCGTTCCTTTCTGACGTGTCCTCACTGATTGATCCATATTGATCCCATAGCGGAAGGTAAGAATTGACGATGCGGATCCCTAAGGCCAGTGATTCTTCTACTGCTACTGTTTCTTGGGTTTTTGGAGACTACACTCTTCCAGATATACGTGTCCCGAGGTGCATTTGGAACTAGTCCCTAACATGTTCAGCACTAGAGCGGTATTTCCTGGGGAATAACCGGAGAAAACGGTATCATAAGGATTTGAACATGACCGAACATGCCTCGAAAAACTGCTAACCTGTCCCATCACAGAAGAGATGCCCATTTTTGTGACAGGCTATGTTAGCTCTTTTTTGGCAAAATCTTCGGGTTTCTTAAATTCGTAAACGGACATGTTAGCATTGTCCGCGCAAACATTTCCACCAAGACACCAAAGCAAGGGAGCCACACTTCTGCGGGACACCAGCACTTCACTTGCCAACACTCAGTATCCCACACCAGGATTTGTGATAATGATTTTAGTCTAGATTCCCAGGATCACATTGCAAGCCAAAGACCTCTAAGCAGCTAACCTGTCCAAATCACATGTTTGCAAAAACAACTTTTGAATCGCTAACGTGTCCTGCTCATGGATCTGACCTTCCAGGTCACCTAACTTAACCAAAAAAGAAAAAGAGCCTTTAAAAGGGTACGTAAAAAACCGTGAGAGTAAGGCCTGTTGTTGATCTCTCCGTTTGACACTAGCTTGTCATCCTTTTTTGTTACATGAAGATGGTGTTTGAAGGGAAGATGGTTTGTGAGGCTTTGGATGTCCAAAAAACCTAGCAATGCGCCATAAAGAACCTATGATCATCTATGATCTATACCTGTGCGTGAGGTAAGCAAATTGCTCCATACAGAGGCACCTATGCCTATACTGTTGACCAATGGTGGACAGAGGGGACGTCGACCTTCACACCATGGCAGGTTTCCTTGCTCGCAGGGACGTGTATCCAGCCCTCGTGCGGTTGGGGTGTCATCTCTCATCTCGAGCTTTTGAAGGATCCGCAAGATACACTCTGTCTATTTATGTAATTTCTCATCTGTCTTCCGCTTGAATTCCTGAAGGCTAAATACACCCTGCGTCGGCTTCTGACTGGTTTTCCATGGGTTTCCTTTGACAGGGTGGGGGGCTTCTGACTCGGAGCCTCCACTGCAGCATTTCTTTTGGCAACCAAGCGTATCCAAGCATCAATTATATATATATATATATACTAGAGAGAATTACATATCAGTTACTATTATTTGTTTGGATTTACGATGGACAGATTGTATAACTCCTGAATCCGCTCCCTGCATGTCTCTTCCAAGGTCGATGTCTCGTGTCTTGCAACTAAACCGGGGCCCCGGTGGACCTCTTTGTCAAACATCAACACTCTCCCAAATCCAACTCTGGGCTCAAACCCGGGAGACCGGAGACTAAATGTTTGGTTTGCCAAGAGGTCGATTTCGATGATCGCGCGTCGGTTGTTTCGGCTTTTAGCGATTTTAGCCCAAAGAGGGAAGATATATGCCTACATTATCCTACATTGACCCGCCAAACCACCCCAATTCAATGCAACACAAATATGTCAGTCCCATGGAATGTGTGTGATTTGCCATTGGTCGCCCAGATCGCGGATCCATAGCTTGAAATCCGCACGGGCAGCGATCAGCTCTCGAAGCGGGGCACCACAGGTGAGATCAGGGTTTGGAGATGTTTGGAAAGGGTCCAGTCAAGTGTTGTGTCATGTTTGTACTCATGTTTGTTTTGCCAACGTTAGTCTCGTTTCTGGCTTGTGTTTCTCGTGTTCGTGTGAGTCAATGCCACAGAGTGTTGTAGAGGCTTGGACAAGGATGGCTGCATATTACGGCCCTTTCAATACCCAAGGGCTGCGGTCTATTGATGACAGAAATTGGGTTCGGTTGTTTTTGCCCCCTGGTTCGGAGGCACTCCGTTTTGGTACATGCATTTGTTGCTTGCTAGAGGCCAGCTGTTTCAGTCAATTGGTTGCCTGGTTGCTTAGCTGAGGTTGAAAGTTTGGTTGAAGTTGAGTTGCAGGTTGATTGGTTGGGAAGATTGCGCGGCGGCCCACATTCCACAAGGCCAACGCAACGCTAGCGGCGGCCACAAGCTCTTTTCCCCTGCACGGGAGCAAAAGGCGGATGCCCAACACACAGTGGCAGAGCTGGAAGAGGAGAAATTGGTGAGTTTGAGCGGGAGATGAAAGCCCTTTCACACAGTAGGTGTCCTTACTGCACTACTAATATCTAATTTTATCATATTGTCTAATACTGTAAATATGTTTGCTGATCAGATGGTTTCTTGATTTGACGTTTCAGGGAACCCCCTCGGAATTCGCAGGATTTTAGCTTGGCCTTGTTCCTTGGAACAAATGCAGGAATTGAATGGATTTGAGTTGATTTGTTTTTGGTGACCTTAACTGCAACTACAATTGTACGCAATAATCAGATGCAATTAGAACAGATGAGGAGAAAAGTGACGTGTGTAGTATGCGTGTGTGAGAGAGAATGTCTATGCTGGACAGGACCATATATTGTCATCATTATGTTTATATATTAGTTATTGAATTATTGATATATTCGAGCAAAAACAGTATATGGCGTGCTCCGTTTGCTGGTCCAACATCAGTATTCCTGGGTGAACGAGATAGGACCCCCTACATAAACAAGATACTATTGTTTGATGACAGATGACACTCAAGCAGTCTGAACGAGATACAGTGATTTGCTGCTTTGCTACTAAGCAGGACATGACATGTCCTCCTACGACTTATATAAGTAGTCCAACCGAGACAGGGCGCCGACATAATAGATAGTAATACAATGTAATACATAATAGTTGTTTGGAGTTGAGTATTGAAACACGCCGCCTCTCATACATATAATTATGAACATATATAAATGTATATACATTTGTGCATATCTATATGCATAGACACGTTTTGTAGACATGTACATTTGCACATCTTACACTGTGAGATGTATATTGCATACTCACTCAGTCCCTGACAAACCCGAGCAAAAACCGTACGGTTGGCGTTTTCTGGGCAAGTTTGTGCCACAGTTTGTCAGCCATTGGAGGCACGAACCTCCAGAGAATATCGAATAGTTCCCTCAGTTCCCCTGTGAATTCTTATTTGGTCAATTGTTGGTGTGGAGGGCGCATGAGGGAGCAGTGCGATGTCATAAGTGTAGTTACTCTCCATTTAAGGGGTCCTATGGGACAATGTAACGTCAACTGTGCACCACTAGCTTTTTAGAATTGAATGGATGCACCTTTATCATCAGCTGAGGGACTGAACATCATCCACCACTTAGGCGCAGCTTGTCTGCCCAGATAATGTTATATAGTGTCAGTGATGAGCACCCCCTTTTGTGAACGGGTTTGTTCAGTAACTGCTTTAAGTAACTACTGCGCGTGTCTCCCACCTGATGTTTGCCCTAGGAGCAGAAGCTACAAGCGCAACGCCTTGCCACTACACGACAGGCAGTGTGGGAATTGGATGGACTTTGGGTTGCTGTTCCCGTATGACTCCAACTACATCTAACTACCTGCCAGGGTAGTTGGACCCTCCGAAGCCACACAGACTGTGACCTCAGGAGATGAGCCCCCTGATGTGTTTCTACCACTAAAGACCTAAGGTGCTTGTTCAATCAAGAACACATAATTTCCGCAGATGAGAAGTTCTCCCTTTCCGAAGGACAGTCTTCCGACCTGCGCTCATGCATGATGCGTGGGGTCGGCACAAGAGTGCCAGGTGCTGACTGACTTGCCCGGAGCCCAGCCACAATCTCATTGATGTGTGTGCCATAGGCTCGGTTCAATATACGTACTTGAAAAGCCAGCAAAAACACAAGTCAACTGATCAATATAATCAAATCAAATGTTCAATTGTGTTTACAATGTAAGAGTCTAGCTATAAGAAAGTAGTTTGCTTTCCTTGATGATAACTCTGATCAGACCTGACAATGTCGGGGTCTGCGAGAGAAACTTCAAGGTAGTTTGGCTTTGTGGTGGTGTTTGGCTGTTTGGCACTCTGAATAGCTGAACTGAATCGAATCGTTGTTCCCCACCTGCCAGGTGAGGGTCTTTGGATTTTAAGAAAGGTGCTACTCCGTTCTTTGTCCTTTGTCCTTCTCCGGCCACATGGTCATATCATCATGTCACAGCCAGTGCCAGCACGGCACACGTCATCAACACCAAAACAAAAGAGATAGCTGCTAGCTACCCTATAAACGCATCCTTTTTCAAAGCTGGGGCCCCAGCATCCTTGACCCAATCTCCCTTAATCCACCTTCAGAAGGTTTTTGGACACGTGAAACGTGTTTCGTGAGGCAGCGGGAAAAGGCACAGTGGCAGGCGACTGTGGCCAAGTTTCAGGCCGCTGCTGAGAGCCCTAAAGGCTCCATCGATGCCACCAATCCACGATCAGGTGGAGAAACAGTTGCTAAATCATATCTATCCCTTAACCTGTTGGAAAGGATTTCAGGGGATGGTGACAGGAGGCATCCCTTAAGGCACGGAATCTGATCCGACATCTAATTTTACTGGCCGAATGGCTTCGTGTTTGACTCTTTGGAGAAACCCTTTAGGCTGTTCTGGCGATGAATCTCTTCAGACTAGGAACAAGTGCATCGCTAGTAGTAACAAGAAGCTACTAGCAAAGGAATCTACTAGGACCTTTTCTGTTTTGGGGTGAACACGGGCGCTTGGAGCTCGGTCCGTCAAGTCCGCCGCCGCGGCGCCGCCGCGACGTCATCGCGGCCGCGGCTCAAAGAGCATTGGCCCCCCGCGGATTGAGACCTCGCCGAAGGCGCGAAGGCATCACCGAAAGCGACCAATGTTGGCTTGTGGGTGTTGTGACACGATCCTTGGAACTGGGAGGGTTGGGCAGAACTGTGAGTTGTGCTTTGGAGAGACTGGTCCATTTCAGCTGCAAGTGCTTCAGTGTAGCGTTGCAGGAATTATATGTTCTTATGTTCTCCAATCTTTGGGAGGCTTGCAATGAGGGTGATAATTTAGTTAATGTTGTCTATTCAATGGCGGGCTTGCCATTCCACAACTCATGGTCATATTATGCTTGAAAAGTCCTTGCAACAGCCTCACAGGGCAAATGACTGAAAAAAGGAACAGGTCCAGTACTGAGAAGTCTCACTTGCTCAAACCAATGAGTCCCGCGAGCCCAATGATTTCTGGATCACCCAAATTCAATGATTGACGATGTGATCGACACACACATACATGCACGCACACACACACACAAGGAATATGTGGGTGGATGGATGGATGGCTGGCTGGCTGGCTGGATGGATGGATGGATGGATGGATACAGTAGATATGATAGATATGGATAGATACTAGGTAGGATGGGACAGGACAGGGTAGGATATGACAGGTAAGGTAATGTGAGGTAGAGATAATATATACCCTACAAGTCCAAAGCTCAGTAAAACCTGTTTTTTTCTTTTACCTCCTTAAGTAGTGTTTTTGTATGACCATCTCCAGTAAAATGAGCTCATTGACTTGCAGGGATACAATATATACTTTAGATTAGATTACGTAGGTAGATAGATCGATCGATAGATCGATAGATGGATAGATCGACAGATAGATGGAGAGATGGATAGAGGGATAGAGAGGTAGAGGGGTAGAGGGATAGATGGATAGATGGATAGACAGACAGACAGACAGACAGATAGATAGATAGATAGACAGATAGACAGATAGATAGATATGTTTGTATATATATATATATGTTCATTGCTGTGTTGTTTGTTAGTTGGCTTGGCAAGCTTTTCTAAGGAATGGTGGCACTCCTGTGGAGGAAGTGACCTCGTTGCCCCGTCTCAAGACTCTCGAAGAAGACGGCCGGATCTCCGAGACGCCAGAAGTTCCTCCAGCTGCAGCTCCCGCACCGATGAAGGAGAGTGGTGCCACCTTCACCTTCAAGCTGCCAGACAACACCTCAAAGGAGGCCAGGCCAGAAAGCACCTCCCCATTGTTTGGTAAACCTGATCAAACATGGAGAAGATTAGGTCCAGATCGACTCACTCCTGTGCCACCTGTGTGGAACATGTTGACGTGATGAAAAGGCATGCACATTGCTGGTGTGAAGGTGTGTTTCAAGGCATGTCTATAGTTACGTAGGCCAATTTGGATGATTGTGCAAAGCATAGAGACAAGCATAAAGAGTGAACCAGTTGAATTGAAACAAACATGTTTTAGGCACATGGGCCCCATGGGCCTGTTGCAACGGAGCAGTGGTTTTTCCTCCGAGGCCAACAACAGGAGCAGCATAACGACAACCATACGTATTACAACAATACTTTTTCCTGAAAAGTTTGGCACAAGAACATGCGGAACCAAATATTATGTCCAAAATGCCTACAGGCCGCCCCTTGACGAGATGCTTTTCACAACAAATCCAATGCCAGGTGTTCAATGGAACTCCTAAATTGCCTTTTCGGGGGCACAAATAGCAAGTCCAAAGCAGCGGTACTCTGGACTAGATTCTGGTAGATTCGTGCCCTCTTTCTTTTCTGAATTCCCTGTGCCACCTGCATTTGCCTGCACGAGTATAAATTTGGAATCATCATCCCCATGTGATTTGACACGAACTTCTGCAAACGATCAGCAAGTTGCGCTGATCGCGTCAAGCCGATCTGCCGATCTGTTTGTACTCCGTGGAATATGTATGTATCATGAATTTTTGTGTCACAATCAATGCAATTGTCAAGTCCGCTACATGTTTTTCCCCCAACAGTGTGGACACACTTAGGGATTCTTACGGTAGGAGAAAAGCAGCTGTGCTTAGATCGGTGTGCCGCGCGGGCGTGTGCGGCTAATTCGCTGCAATTTACAGTTATAGATTGTATCATGAATGTTCGTGTCACAATCAATACAATTGTCAAGTCCGCTACATGTTTTTTCCCGTTTGTGTCACTCTTCAATTAACCCAACAGGAAAGCAAGAATGTATTTCATGGTAGAACCTATCCAACTGTTGTTGTTAGGGGCAGGAGTTAAATAAGCACACACAAACATATATATATAGTATATATATATTTATATATATATATATGCATCGCCAGTTTTCCAAGTGGACACGGCGGGCAGGTTTTGTTTTTTAACCACATGCCCAGCCCTTTTGTTTAGCTGCCAGTGTTTGAGGCCATCGCCAATGTTGGGTACATTTTTGGTTTGAAGTGAGACCAAAAATCGATGTTGACCACAGCAGTGTTCAGGTGGTGTTCAGGGCCAAACCCTTGGGTCTGGACTTCAGCAAGTCGACCCCCTTGGTGGTGAAGGCTGTGAAGAAGGACTCCGTGGCAGAGGACGTGGCCGTTCAAAGCCAGTGGGAGGTAACGCATGTGAACGGAGAAGAGATGCCCACAGACTTGAGGGAGGCGATGACTGTGTTGTTGAAGGCAGTCAAGGACCTTCCACCAAAGTGAATGCAAAGCGCAAAGCGTGATCTCAGGGCAAAAGGGCGATTTGTTGCAAAAGTACTTAAGTCAGTCATATGACATTTGAGTTGCAATGACAGGATCAACTTTTACTTAATTTCACTTCACCCGTGTTTGATAAGCATAATCACGCGCAGAATGATCAAGAATCGTCAGCGGCAAATAGCGCAAATAGGAACTTTCTCCTTTGCTCCTTTGATAGGGAGCAGTCCAGCAGCCTGATTGCATCGTTGTTTCAAATGTTTCAAAAGAGCAACAGAAGTTGCCAGGGTCACCCAGAGTTGTTTTGATCGCGCAAAACAAAACTGGTGGACTTTGCAAATGGGTGACCCAAAGGACTTTGAGACTGAAGGAGTTTGCAAAAAAATGCCGCGCTTCACATGGCACAAACTCATGAATAAACTTGAAACCGTAAACTGCATTTTGTCCATTGTTCATAACAGCCGGGCAGGGAAGGGCACTTTAAGGGATGACGGCTGGCAAGAACACGCGAAACAGTGCATGTGATGCAAACACATTCCGAAGTTTGCAGCAGTAGCCCAAGCAACTGGGGTTGCGGACAATGACGACTGGTGTTCTGCACACCTGTGTTACATTGAAGCTAGGAGCTCTCTTCAACTGGCACATAAAATCCGAGGCAGCACAATGATGTGCTTCCCAGGTAGCGGTGCACCTGTTCGTGTCACATGATGCTTTGGACATGTTCCCACCTTCAGAGCTTAGGAAACAAGGACTTCCTGACAATTAGATAAAGAGAGAGAGAGAGAGAAGATGTGCGGGCCCGGCACACGTGAGATAGAGAGGGACACAGAGAGAGAGAGAGGAGAGAAGCTATAAACCTGAGACTATGTATATGATATTTATGTAGATTGTTGCTTGAGAGCTTGAGGGCGCAACGACCTTCCGTTTCCTGACAAGGACACCGAGTGCTGTGCTTGACATTTCCGGGATGTCCAATCAATATCCTGTGGCTGCTGTGTGCCCCAAGTGACAGCAGGAGCAAGTGAGGCTCCGAATATCAAGTCTTTGGGAGGATGACTGGTCCAGTGGCTAGACAATCTAATTCCTTTTGCAAGGCACGCAATGTTTATCCGGGAATGGAACGGACGCTTTCTATTTGAAGCTTCACGGACGCTCCTTGTTGCTCCTACGTTTCAGGAGTCTACCCTTTTTTCGGCTTCGGCTTCGGGAACCAACATGGTCAGGCCAGCAACGATGAACGCACGGCGGTCTCCCAGAGGGCCATCGCACAAGACCGACAGGTCCGAACGCGGGGTTCACTGCTTACGATCGGGCAATGCATGGAGATCATGACATGCAGACCTGCCTTTCATTAGATCCAATGAGTGCCAAACAGAAAGAGGGTACCGCATCCCTGGCTGTGTGAGGGAGAGTCGTGAAACTGGTTTTTGAGGGTGCAGAGCCCTGGTATGGAGGCCCCCTTCCTAGCCACCCAGCAGAACCCTTCGCACCGTTGCAAGCAACGGATAGAGCGAGTTTTGCACTTGTCTTTAGTGGTAAGCTATGATCCACTGGTCAAGTGCTTGCCAGAATCTCAAGTCGAAAGATTTTGAGATCCCTTGTGAAATGCCTTCATCACTTTGCTCACAGTTAGCCTTTTCCGCTCACCGTCACCTATATTGTAAGGGCTCCGCCCGGGTGCCGCCGACCCCTTTTCATCTCGAGGGTTTGGCGGTTGAACCTTGACAACTTCCTGGGATTCAACAGCGAGACTTGGATGGGCTTCACACCAATGCTGGCATTCAACCAGCTGCCGAGAAGAGGGCAAGGCTGCGGTGAGGCTCTGGGGAGC